TTTTGGTTTCCGTCATATTCATGATGCATTCAGTTGTAATTATTCAAACTTTTGTGGCGTCAGCATCGTTGGACCTAAACGGAAAAGGCCCTTCTCGTTTCATTTCCAGCAATAGTTTTGTCACGCTTAGTTTTTTTTTTTTTCTCAAAAAAAAGGCCCGGCCAACTAAACACCAACACTCACTCACTCACTTACTGATACAAACAAAACAGGTTTTTCAACCATTATTTTCTTCAAACGTTTTTTTTCTCTTTCAACAAGGATTTCTTTTTTGTAAAAAAGAAGAAGTTTGCCACTTTTTTCTGATCATTTTTTTATCGAATATTTTCGGGAGTCAACCCAATTTGTTCTCGCTATAGGAGATAGTAATGGTTTCACTTTACCTGGCAGACAATAGACTTGCTGAAAAGGCATCACCCTTTTCCTGTCTCCAAACCTCTTATCCCCCCTGTAGCCTCCTCTCCTACGGGCCAGTTTTTCCACCCTGCCAGTATTGGATCCAGTCAACCGTTTCTTCATCGTCTGCACTTCCAACTCCTCAGCCCATCTCTTCAGCAGCCAATGTATTGACACATTTCCCAACCAACTTAATGTTGCAGCTTTCCAACTCCTCTTGGTCAGGCTTTCGGTTTTCAACCAACTCAGCAATATAACACGCATCACTAAGAGCGGCGTATTTCGGTGGACGAATAAAATTTTGGCCTCCAGCCGTTTGCTGTCTACCATCAATGTTTTCAACAGCACAAGAATTTATCATCGTGAACAAAGATCTACACAAAAAAATTGCAAAATGTTGTTGATAAGGTTTGAAATTCAACGGCAAAAAAATAAATAAATAAATAAATTAAATGAGTGGGAAAAGATGATGAAAAAAAATTTTCTTTGTACTTTATTACATTTGATTTTTTTTCATCTTTTTTTTTTTCCACTACAAACTTTCGCCAAAAAATGTATTGTTTTTATTTTGTTGTTGTTATCGTTGTTCTCTGTGAACCTCATTTTTGTCAAAAGAGTGGTGAAGAGACCGAAGCAGAGACAGAGAAAGAAAAAAGAGATAAAGATCGTGACAAATGTCTGTTGAAGTAGTTAAGAAAATACAAATTTACAACTGAAATGACAGGTCTCAAATTAGTTTTCTGATTTCCCGACCATTCCTTTTCACCATATACAGTAATAAGCGTTCAAAAAAGAAAGTCTTTTTATTTCTTTTTTTAGTCTGGAAATATTGTGCTTATCAAGCAGAAGAAGAAAGTTTTTTTTTTTGTTTCGTAAAATGGCTCTTTTCTCTTTTTTAGAATTTAAAATAAAATTTTGAGAATAAAAAGAAAAATAATGTAAATAATTAAAAAAAACTGAATAAACAAAAAGAACAACCAAAACAAAATAAAATTATAAACGATGAAAAAAAATTTTTGACGAAGATTATAGCAGAACTGTTGATGAAACGTTTGTGAACATCAACGATAAATATTAAATCCCAGATAACAATTTTTTTTACAGAAAATGAGATATTTGATTTTTTTTTTCCTCTCTCTCTCTTTCTCTACTTTTTTTTTCTTTAAATTTAATGTTCGTGTTTTACAGCAAAAAAAAAATGTACTGTTTTAAAGTGACAAAGAAATTTCATAGTACCGTAAATATATGTATAAATATTTTTTTTTGTGGAATATTAAGTTTCGCTTTCTTCATTTTCAGGAAAACATTCCACAGCAAATCAGTTTTAGTGATGTCTTTTTTTCTTTGTCATCATCTCTCTGTGTACGAATAGACCCACCAACAACTAACTGCATGCAAACCAACAGTATATCGTCAAAACGATGTATCGATGTTCACATGGAGCCGCACAAACGGTATCACTGCAACTGATGCTGCTGATTTTGGTGTTGATGGCGTGGGGTATTGGTGCTGCTGCTTCTGCTGTTGCAGTTGCAAATATATATGTGCACGTATAGGAAGTTTTGCATTTTTGTCGATGCCACATTTTAGGGTTCCAAACACATCCACTATCAGTATCAAACAAACTGTTTTACTAGTTTTTTTTTTCTTTGAACTTATCTTCAGATACTGCTTTTAAACCAGTTATTAGGTCAAGTGGGATACACATATACACACACACATTAAAAAAAAGGCAAAAAATTGTACTCAATTGATTACTACTTACTGTACACTTCCAAAACCTTATATACGTAGTTACTTCAGTGTTTAGAAACCAATATAAAAAAAGAAAAAAAAAACGAATTGCAGCATTAAAATTTTTACTTTTCAAAAACAATTAAACATTGGCTGTTGACAGACATTAGTTCTTTTCCTTCTTTTTTTTTTCTTCTTTCTTTCATTAGCGTTTATGAAGATTGATGAATGAATTGTTGTTGTTGTTGTTGTTGCTGTTTTGTTGTTGTTGCTTTTTTCTTCCATCAATCCTCAACTTTGAACTATATATGGAAATGACAATTATATTAGAAAACTGTAGTGCTGTCAGCGCGATGTTTTTTTGTTTGGCAACAGCAGAATTACAATTCTAAACATTTGAGGTTTTTTTAACTCTTTCTCGATTCCCTTCTATCTATTTCGTCCACAGTCATTTCAAAATTAGCAACACTTTCAAAAATGTCGTTGAAAATTAAAATTTTCTCAAATTTCACTTTTTTTTCTTCTTTTCTCCCCTCCCTTCCAACTCCTCATCTTTTCATTTCCACCCCACTCTTTTTACTGATCGTATGGGCATAATTTTTACTAAATTTTTTCAGAAAAATGAATAAAGAGAGTTGTAGAAGGAATGAAAAAGGGTAGAATACTGAAAAGAACTGGTTCATTGAAATAATTTGTTTCAAGGTAGCTACTTGATTCTTTCTTTTATTCTTCCATTCTTTCTACCCTACTCATTGGTTTTTTTTCTCCTCCCTTGATCATCGAATAAACAAAACTACACTGATGGCATTTCAACAATTTGGGCGATAATTTATATTTTAGCCAAAGAAAAAAAAAAAAGAAACCTTAAACAGTTTCAGGCAAAAATAAAGAAAAAAAAAGAAGGAAAAAACAGCTTTTTTTACTCAACCTATCAAAAAAACTTTATTTATTCAATTTTTCTCTTTTGAAAAAATACTATAATTTAAGACTTATATAATAAAAGGGAGAAATGGTACATATATGTATGAGTAAATGTGCATCGAAAATTTCTTCAAATTTTATTATCTAATCTTTTTGCTCTAATTCTGGACAGAAAACTAAGAATTTTATTCTCTTTGTTCCTCTACCCTAAATAACAACTAAATATTCACTTTTTTCCCACCTGATTACTTGCAGAAAAATTTACATTACGATAATTGATCGAGAAATGAGTGTAAGATTAGACCGCATCTAGAATAAACTCGTTGCTGCTGTTGTTGATTTTATTGATAGTAATGGTGGATAATGGTGCTGTCGCTGCTGCTTTTTGATGGCTGAGCAAAACAATTATAACGGTATCAGGATGCGTTGTGATGCAAAGAACCACAAAAAAATTTTTTTTTGCTGCTGTTCTTGTGACTTCAAAGCAAAAAAAGCAACTTTTCAAACACATACATATACAGTTAAAAAGAGTAAAAGAAAAAATCAAAAGAACGGAGAATACTAACTGAGTTTTGAAGATTTTAACGTTTTAAGACTAGTAAATTGTTGTTTCAATGATAAAGTTGTTGCGTTTGCTGGACTACAAAAAAAATCACAATTTTTTTTCCGATTTTGCTTACTATGTTTCAATATGACGTAAAAACGGATTGTTTCTGCTACTCTTTTTATTAAACTCTATCCGAACATATATGTTCATTGGGCTCATAGAATCTGTATTTATATAACTTTTTGGAACTGTAAAAAGACTGAAGTCGCGGCAAAACAAGTTGTGTACAAAAACAACTGCCTGTGCATAGACTGCACAATAAATTCAAAGCACATTCTAATATCCTGGAGCAGTTCTTGGTGGTGGGCAATGATCGCAGCCTCCATCTCTTCCTGGTGGACCACGTTCTCCTGGTTTTCCACGAGCTCCGTCTTGTCCTGGGCGGCCATCGACACCATCGCAACCTGGAGGTCCTGGAGGTCCTGGTGGGCCATCTTTGCCTGG